CGGGACACACCAAATTGACTTTGGGCGACAGGGCACGCTTTGTCGCCAGACAACCGAAGACGGCCGATATCGGCCTGGTGTGTCTGGGCCTTTAGCCTGCGTAGCTTTAGCATGGTTAGCTTCCTAACTGTATTGGTCCTTCAGGAGGCAGCAGTGGAGGCGTAGCTTTAGCATGGTTAGCTTTAGCATGGTTAGCTTTAGCATGGTTAGCTTTAGCATCATTAGCTTTAGCATGGTTAGCTTCCTAACTGTACTGGTCCTTCAGGAGGCACTGCATAGCTTTAGCATGGTTAGCTTTAGCCTGCGTAGCTTTAGCATGGTTAGCTTTAGCATGGTTAGCTTCCTAACTGTCTCGTCCCTTCAGGAGGCACTGCGTAGCTTTAGCATGGTTAGCTTTAGCATGGTTAGCTTCCTAACTGTCTCGTCCCGTCAGGAGGCGGCCGTGGAGGATCTTCATCACTACAGAAACCTGGGAGAGTTCTTCAGACGACAACTCAAACCTGCAGTCAGACCTCTCTGCGCCTCCTCCTGCCTGGTAACTCTTCCTCATCTTCATCTTCCTCCTCTTCCTCACCACTTCCTGTCTGCTCCTCTTCCTCACTACTTCCTGTCTGCTCCTCTTCCTCACTACTTCCTGTCTGCTCCTCTTCCTCACCACTTCCTGTCTGCTCCTCTTCCTCACTACTTCCTGTCTGCTCCTCTTCCTCACCACTTCCTGTCTGCTCCTCTTCCTCACTACTTCCTGTCTGCTCCTCTTCCTCAGATTTCTCCGGCTGACGGCAGGATTCTTCACTTTGGTCGAGTGCAGAACTCTCAGGTTGAGCAGGTGAAGGGAGTGACCTACAGCCTGGAGCACTTCCTGGGTCCTCAGAGGGGGCGGAGCCAAGGTGAGCTGTTCCCCAGCTGTTTACTCACCTGTGTGTTACTCACCTGTGGTTCTGGTTCTGGTCCTGATGGTTTTGGTTCTGGTCCTGATGGTCCTGATTCTGGTCCTTCTGGTTCTGGTTCTGGTCCTGATGGTTCTGGTTCTGATGGTTCTGATTCTGGTCCTGATGGTTCTGGTCCTGATGGTTCAGATCCTGATGGTTCTGGTTCAGGTCCTAATGGGTCTTGTCCTGATGGTTCTGGTCCTGATGGTTCTGGTCCTAATGGTTCTGGTTCTGATGGTTCTGGTTCAGGTCCTAATGGGTCTTGTCCTGATGGTTCAGGTCCTGATGGTTCTGGTCGTAATGGTCCCTGTCTCTCCACAGACGCGTCCCGGTCCTTCCAGGACCAGCTGCTGTCCTCTCCTCAGAACGACCTGTTCCACGTGGTGGTCTACCTGGCTCCAGGTGACTATCACTGCTTCCACTCACCTACAGACTGGAGGGTGGAGCTGAGGCGCCACTTCCCAGGTGAGAACCACTTCCTGTTCCTAACTCCGACCCTGTCTCACCTGTCTTTCTCTCCTGTCTCACCTGTCTGTCTCTCCTGTCTTTCTCTCCTGTCTCACCTGTCCCACCTGTCTGTCTCACCTGTCTGTCTCAGCTGTCTTTCTCACCTGTCTGTCTCACCTGTCCCACCTGTCTCACCTGTCTGTCCCACCTGTCTCACCTGTCCCACCTGTCTGTCTCGCCTGTCTTTCTCTCCTGTCTCACCTGTCTCTCCTGTCTCACCTGTCCCACCTGTCTGTCTCACCTGTCTCTCCTGTCTCACCTGTCCCACCTGTCTGTCTCACCTGTCTTTCTGTCTCACCTGTCTCTCCTGTCCCACCTGTCTGTCTCACCTGTCTGTTTGTCTCACCTGTCTGTCTCACCTGTCCCACCTGTCTGTCTGTCTCGTTAGGCTCTCTGATGTCCGTGAACCCGGGCGTGGCTCGGCTCGTTAAGGAGCTCTTCTGTCTTAACGAGCGCGTGGCTCTGAGCGGCCAATGGCAGCACGGCTTCTTCTCGTTAACAGCGGTGGGGGCTACCAACGTGGGCTCCATCAGGGTCTACTTCGACCAGGTGAGGAGCTTTATTCTGAAATTCATTTTGATGTATTTACTTCCTGTTAATAAAATAGAGTTCCTCGTTAACAGTGTCCCTCGTTAACAGTGTCCCTCGTTAACAGTCTCCCTCGTTAACAGTCTCCCTCGTTAACAGTCTCCCTCGTTAACAGTCTTCCTCGTTAACAGTCTTCCTCGTTAACAGTCTCCCTCGTTAACAGTCTCCCTCGTTAACAGTGTCCCTCGTTAACAGTCTTCCTCGTTAACAGTCTCCCTCGTTAACAGTCTCCCTCGTTAACAGTCTTCCTCGTTAACAGTGTCCCTCGTTAACAGTCTCCCTCGTTAACAGTGTCCCTCGTTAACAGTGTCCCTCGTTAACAGTCTCCCTCGTTAACAGTCTTCCTCGTTAACAGTCTTCCTCGTTAACAGTGTCCCTCGTTAACAGTGTCCCTCGTTAACAGTCTCCCTCGTTAACAGTGTCCCTCGTTAACAGTCTTCCTCGTTAACAGTCTTCCTCGTTAACAGTGTCCCTCGTTAACAGTGTCCCTCGTTAACAGTGTCCCTCGTTAACAGTCTTCCTCGTTAACAGTGTCCCTCGTTAACAGTCTCCCTCGTTAACAGTCTCCCTCGTTAACAGTCTTCCTCGTTAACAGTGTCCCTCGTTAACAGTGTCCCTCGTTAACAGTGTCCCTCGTTAACAGTCTCCCTCGTTAACAGTGTCCCTCGTTAACAGTCTCCCTCGTTAACAGTCTCCCTCGTTAACAGTCTTCCTCGTTAACAGTGTCCCTCGTTAACAGTGTCCCTCGTTAACAGTGTCCCTCGTTAACAGTCTCCCTCGTTAACAGTCTCCCTCGTTAACAGTCTCCCTCGTTAACAGTCTCCCTCGTTAACAGTGTCCCTCGTTAACAGTCTTCCCTCGTTAACAGTCTCCCTCGTTAACAGTCTCCCTCGTTAACAGTGTCCCTCGTTAACAGTCTTCCTCGTTAACAGTGTCCCTCGTTAACAGTCTCCCTCGTTAACAGTGTCCCTCGTTAACAGTGTCCCTCGTTAACAGTCTCCCTTGTTAACAGTGTCCCTCGTTAACAGTCTTCCTCGTTAACAGTGTCCCTCGTTAACAGTCTCCCTCGTTAACAGTGTCCCTCGTTAACAGTGTCCCTCGTTAACAGTCTTCCTCGTTAACAGTGTCCCTCGTTAACAGTCTCCCTCGTTAACAGTCTCCCTCGTTAACAGTGTCCCTCGTTAACAGTCTCCCTCGTTAACAGTGTCCCTCGTTAACAGTCTTCCTCGTTAACAGTGTCCCTCGTTAACAGTGTCCCTCGTTAACAGTGTCCCTCGTTAACAGTCTTCCTCGTTAACAGTCTCCCTCGTTAACAGTGTCCCTCGTTAACAGTCTCCCTCGTTAACAGTGTCCCTCGTTAACAGTCTTCCTCGTTAACAGTGTCCCTCGTTAACAGTGTCCCTCGTTAACAGTCTTCCTCGTTAACAGTGTCCCTCGTTAACAGTGTCCCTCGTTAACAGTGTCCCTCGTTAACAGTCTCCCTCGTTAACAGTGTCCCTCGTTAACAGTCTCCCTCGTTAACAGTGTCCCTCGTTAACAGTGTCCCTCGTTAACAGTCTCCCTCGTTAACAGTGTCCCTCGTTAACAGTCTCCCTCGTTAACAGTCTCCCTCGTTAACAGTGTCCCTCGTTAACAGTGTCCCTCGTTAACAGTGTCCCTCGTTAACAGTGTCCTCGTTAACAGTCTCCCTCGTTAACAGTGTCCCTCGTTAACAGTCTCCCTCGTTAACAGTGTCCCTCGTTAACAGTGTCCCTCGTTAACAGTGTCCCTCGTTAACAGTCTCCCTCGTTAACAGTGTCCCTCGTTAACAGTCTCCCTCGTTAACAGTCTCCCTCGTTAACAGTGTCCCTCGTTAACAGTCTCCCTCGTTAACAGTCTCCCTCGTTAACAGTCTCCCTCGTTAACAGTCTCCCTCGTTAACAGTGTCCCTCGTTAACAGTGTCCCTCGTTAACAGTCTCCCTCTCGTTCTCAGGATCTTCAGACCAACGCCCCCCGCTACAGTAAAGGCTCTTTCCATGACCGCAGCTATGTTGCCCTTGACGACCAGGTGCTGAAGGCGGCAGATGAAGGGGGCGTGGCCTCGGTGAAGGGAGGGGGCGTGGCCTCGGGGGAAGGCGTGGTCTTGCAGCGGGGGGCGGCAGTGGGGGAGTTTAACCTCGGCTCTACCATCGTGCTGCTGTTCGAGGCGCCCAAAGACTTCAGCTTTGACCTCCAGCCGGGCCAGCGAATCAGGGTGGGGGAGGGGCTCGGCAGCCTCTGATTGGACGGCTCGGCAGCCTCTGATTGGACAACTCAATGGCCTCTGATTGGACGACTAGATGGCCTCTGATTGGACGACTAGATGGCCTCTGATTGGACGACTAGATGGCCTCTGATTGGATGGCTAAATGGCCTCTGATTCGACGGCTCGGCGGCCTCTGATTGGACTGCTCGGCGGCCTCTGATTGGCCGAGCTGCAGACTCAGAGGGAGGGGCCAGATTTTGAACGATGAAAGAAAGATTTTATAGATAATTTTAAGCATTCTCTACAAAATAAGACGCTGCTGGGGACATAAAGCGGACTCAAACTCCCAGAATGCCTTGTGCCTCCTGAAGGGAAAATGCCAAAAGTGTTACTTTTATATTTTTCTGTTATGTCTCCATGTTGTTCGTCCAGAGACTCAACACGTGTTCGTTTAATCACTAAAACCACACATCAGATTTATGTTAACATATCAAACACATTATAAACTGTTAAACTAACGGTCACATTATAACAAGTTTCTCCGTCCACAGTTTGAATGTTAAAACTTTATTGTTCTCAACAACAGAAGAAGATGCTAACTGTTCTGTTTCTTTACTTTTGTAAAATATGTAATTATTAATAAATATTTCTTTCACAGCAGCTCTGTCTTTATTTCACTCACAATGCAAACCACGTGATATATTATATAAATACAGTACTGAAGATCTGCAGAAGCACAAAGTAGAAATATTGCTACGTTAGTCTAAGAAATATCAGAGAGTGAAAATATAGACGCTTATAACCCTTCTTATCTTTCAGAGGTTAAAGGTTAGAGGTTAAAGACGCTGCAGGTCTGAACCCGTTGAACTCATCTGTTGCTTTATTTCTCAACGAATCCTAACTGTTTATTAAAACTCAGCCGAGCCTCTCTCTCATTGGCCGGCCCTAGCCCCGCCCCCGGCAGCAGAACCAGCAGCACAGCCAATAGGAGGGCGGCGGGCAGCAGTTGCCGTAGCGATGGAAGCGCGGCTCGGCCAGTCCTCCGTGAGCCCAGCTGTCCTCGGGGGGGAACTCCTTCCAGGGCTTCCTGTCCCTCAGAGAGCCCAGCGGGGGAGCCGCCTGCGGGGGGGGGGGCGCCTGGGGGGGGGGCGCCTGCTGCTTCACCCCCAGGAAGGAGACCAGGTCCAGGTCCAGACTTGCTGCCCCCCCCCGGGGCCGAGGGGTGTTCTGCCTGCACTGAGGGCACGGGATCCACACCTGGACAGGTAAACACATCACAACAACAATCCTCACCTGGACAGGTAAACACATCACAACAACAATCCTCACCAGAGGCCTGTACTCTGAAGCCAGTCCAACAGACCCAGAGGACTGTACTCTGAAGCCAGTCCAACAGACCCAGAGGACTGTACTCTGAAGCCAGTCCAACAGACCCAGTGGCCTGTACTCTGAAGCCAGTCCAACAGACCCAGAGGCCTGTACTCTGAAGCCAGTCCAACAGACCCAGAGGACTGTACTCTGAAGCCAGTCCAACAGACCCAGTGGCCTGTACTCTGAAGCCAGTCCAACAGACCCAGAGGACTGTACTCTGAAGCCAGTCCAACAGACCCAGAGGACTGTACTCTGAATCCAGTCCAACAGACCCAGAGGACTGTACTCTGAAGCCAGTCCAACAGACCCAGAGGACTGTACTCTGAATCCAGTCCAACAGACCCAGAGGACTGTACTCTGAAGCCAGTCCAACAGACCCAGAGGACTGTACTCTGAAGCCAGTCCAACAGACCCAGAGGACTGTACTCTGAATCCAGTCCAACAGACCCAGAGGCCTGTACTCTGAAGCCAGTCCAACAGACCCAGTGGCCTGTACTCTGAAGCCAGTCCAACAGACCCAGAGGCCTGTACTCTGAAGCCAGTCCAACAGACCCAGAGGCCTGTACTCTGAAGCCAGTCCAACAGACCCAGAGGACTGTACTCTGAAGCCAGTCCAACAGACCTAGAGGCCTGTACTCTGAAGCCAGTCCAACAGACCCAGAGGACTGTACTCTGAATCCAGTCCAACAGACCCAGAGGCCTGTACTCTGAAGCCAGTCCAACAGACCCAGAGGACTGTACTCTGAATCCAGTCCAACAGACCCAGAGGACTGTACTCTGAAGCCAGTCCAACAGACCTAGAGGACTGTACTCTGAAGCCAGTCCAACAGACCCAGAGGACTGTACTCTGAATCCAGTCCAACAGACCCAGAGGCCTGTACTCTGAAGCCAGTCCAACAGACCCAGAGGCCTGTACTCTGAAGCCAGTCCAACAGACCCAGAGGCCTGTACTCTGAAGCCAGTCCAACAGACCCAGAGGCCTGTACTCTGAAGCCAGTCCAACAGACCCAGAGGACTGTACTCTGAAGCCAGTCCAACAGACCCAGAGGCCTGTACTCTGAAGCCAGTCCAACAGACCCAGAGGCCTGTACTCTGAAGCCAGTCCAACAGACCCAGATCTCTCTGAGTTATCTTAACTAACCCTAACAAAGAGCTCTCGCTAAGCGGTCCTACGGCGCTGGTTATCAACTCAGTAACTCAAGCCAGGGTTTCTCTGTCCGGCTGAGTGCGCGTTCACATGAAAGGGGCGGGGCTAGCAACATTTGACCAATCACAAACATGGAGAAGCGTACTGACAGCGCAGCGTCATACTTCCTGAATGAAAAGTGAACTTTAATATTAGTCAAATATGAAGAAGTTAAACTTTAAACATCCATGACTTAAACACTTTATCCAGGATAAAAGCCACATAGCTGCACCTGCAAGGTGAATACAGCTGGTAACAGAGAAAGTGTTTGAATGCGTACATTAACAGGTTTATGATATCACTGCCCCGTCTAAGACACGATCTGACTTTCATTACATTTGACTCCAGTGTTTCGTCAACTTAATGTGTTGCTTAAAATAATACTTCTGCATCCAGTATGTGACACTGTGAGTGTTGCACGGCCAGATACGGCTCAGCTGACTCAGATAAGGAAATATATGATACATTATGATGTGATATGATATGAATGATAATGGGACACATCGACGTCTGCACTCACAGTGCCACGGACTGTACTTAATGTTACTCTGATCCGGTTACTTATGTTGTGGCAGATATTTAAGTAAGCTTTCTTAACGCTAATGTTATAATAGTCAGATTGCTCTGAAGATGGGAGGAGGGGATATTCTATTAATGTTCACGTTCACACAGTCAGTTGATTTTGGCCGGCCGTCTTTCCTGCAACGGCAGTTTAAACTGTATTTCCTTTCTCCTCCTGTCATATGAATTGATCGCTTTAAACTCCGCACACTGAGCTCTGATTGGTCAGCAGGCAGTGCTTTTATCCTGGAACCTATCCTGCTCCGGAGGCTAGCCGTTCAGAATAAGTTATCTAGCCCGCTAAAAAGTGAACCAGCTTCGTAGGACCGGAAATCCAGGAAGTTAGCTCGCTAAACGAAAATCCTGCTTCGTAGTATACCCCCCAGGCCTCAGCTGATGCTGATTGGTTGATTGATGTATTCATGTGATTATTAATTGGTTAATTGGTGCCCACCTGCTCGTTGATGACGGTGTCCAGCCTTCTGAGGCACGCCTGGCAGAAGGCGTGTCCGCAGTGCAGTCGCCGTGGTAACCGCGTTGTGAGGTCATAGCTGCCGAAGCAGACGATGCACACCAGGTCCTGCCTCCTCATCATCGTCTCCATGGCAACAGAGGAGGGTGGGGGGGGGAGGGGCTCACATGTGACCTCCTCTTCCTCCTCTTCTTCTTCTGCGCCTTTTTCTCTGACGTCCGACATGTTGCTCTGACAGACAAAAATAAAACATTTTTAATAAACCATTTTTATTTTTATGTTTAATATAATATGGCTGTCGCTGCTCAGAGCCATCGGATTGGCTATCACCGTGGAGCCATCCTCAGAGGGGCGGAGCTTAGCGCGGGGGATGGTGACCTCACCGTACGGGTTGTCCAATGAGACGTTGATGTTTGACATGGTTAGCTTTGTTTATATTAGCTGTTAGCTCCGTTATGTTAGCTGTTAGCTTTGTTTATATTAGCTGTTAGCTCCGTTATGTTAGTTGTTAGCTTTGTTTATATGAGCTGTTAGCTCCGTTATGTTAGCTGTTAGCTTTGTTTATATTAGCTGTTAGCTCCGTTATGTTAGCTGTTAGCTTTGTTTATATGAGCTGTTAGCTCCGTTATGTTAGCTGTTAGCTTTGTTTATATTAGCTGTTAGCTCCGTTATGTTAGCTGTTAGCTTTGTTTATATTAGCTGTTAGCTCCGTTATGTTAGCTGTTAGCTTTGTTTATATGAGCTGTTAGCTCCGTTATGTTAGCTGTTAGCTTTGTTTATATGAGCTGTTAGCTCCGTTATGTTAGCTGTTAGCTTTGTTTATATTAGCTGTTAGCTCCGTTATGTTAGCTGTTAGCTTTGTTTATATTAGCTGTTAGCTCCGTTATGTTAGCTGTTAGCTTTGTTTATATTAGCTTTTAGCTCCGTTATGTTAGCTGTTAGCTTTGTTTATATTAGCTGTTAGCTCTGTTATGTTAGGGAGGCGTGTTGCGCAGTGGATAGAGCCTTGGTATGGGGATCAGATGGTCACAGGTTCAAACCCCACTGCAGTCAGCATGTCGTTGTGTCCCTGAGACACTTCACCCCAAAGTGTTCCTGTGGGGATTGCCCACAGTGTTGAGTATGTAAGTCGCTTTGGATAAAAGCGTCTAACAAGTAACATGTAATGTTAGCTGTTAGCTTTGTTTATGTTAGCTGTTAGCTCCATTATGTTAGCTGTTAGCTTTGTTTATATTAGCTGTTAGGTCCATTATGTTAGCTGTTAGCTTTGTTTATATTAGCTATTAGCTTTGTTATGTTAGCTATCAACTTTGTTTATATTAGCTGTTAGCTTTGTTATGTTAGCTATATGCTTTGTTTATACTAGCTGTTAGCTTTGCTATGTTAGCTATATGCTTTGTTTATATTAGCTGTTAGCTTTGCTATGTTAGCTATATGCTTTGTTTATATTAGCTGTTAGGTCCATTATGTTAGCTGTTAGCTTTGTTTATATTAGCTATTAGCTTTGTTATGTTAGCTATCAACTTTGTTTATATTAGCTGTTAGCTTTGTTATGTTAGCTATATGCTTTGTTTATACTAGCTGTTAGCTTTGCTATGTTAGCTATATGCTTTGTTTATATTAGCTGTTAGCTTTGCTATGTTAGCTATATGCTTTGTTTATATTAGCTGTTAGCTTTGCTGTTAGCTGTTAGCTTTGCTATGTTAGCTATATGCTTTGTTAGCTGTTAGCTTTGCTATGTTAGCTATATGCTTTGTTAGCTGTTAGCTTTGCTATGTTAGCTATATGCTTTGTTAGCTGTTAGCTTTGCTATGTTAGCTATATGCTTTGTTAGCTGTTAGTTTTGTTGACGTTAACAGGAAACAGCACTTAGTACTTTTACTGCTCAGTATTTAAAGTCATGTGATTACTTTCAATGAGAAATGAAGACTGAAGATGAAACCGTCCAATCGGGTGATAGTAATGCAGACAGGTTCTGTGTGATTGGATAGAAACTCACCTCTATCTTTCCTTCACATTTTCTTCTTCTTCTATTTTTCCAGTTTCATAACTTCTTATTCTTTTCTTTTAGTTTTTAATCCAGTTTCCCTCCTTCCCTCTCCTCTCCCTCCCGAGTTAAAGGTTTAAAAACAAAAACCTGAAACCTGATCAGCCAATAGAAAGAGGAGCTGCTCCCTGTCGGCCTATCGGGTTACAGCTCTGTGCGAGGGCGCCTAGCAACACACACACACACACACACACACACACACACACACACACACACACACACACACACACACACACACACACACACACACACACACAATGATGAGATCTGCCGCTCGTTAATGGTCTTTATTTCAAATTAAAACATCTTCTCACATTTAATCCACATTTCATATTTTCTGCATTTATACTTAGAAACTCCTTCATACTAAAATCATTGTGCAAAAATATAAATACTTTATAAAACTTCATGAAAACCAAAGTTAGAAAAGTGGATCAAAATATAAAATATAAAAAATACTAAAAGTGAGCAAAACTCGTTGATCTGAGACTCATATTTATAATGATATATATTATGGTTTGTTTTAATGGAATCTGTGGGTAAATTAATAATAATAATTCATCTGGTAATTAATGATTACTCATTACTCTAAATGTGTTGCCATGGTAACAACGGAGACACAGGGTGTTTCTCAATGGTGAGTAAAGCTGCTTCAGAGCCACTATTTCAAGCATACTACGTCATAGAGTGCCGCCGAAGTACTGTTCCAATCTCCAGCATACTTGGAAATCTACCGAGCCCGGCGTACTCCGTTTGGAGAAATATCGAGGCTGCACATGAGCAGACTCCGCGGTCTTAAAATCCCCACAATGCTTTGCGCACGGACCAATTTCCCCAAATCTGTGGCGGAAGATGTAAGAGGCGGGGCCTCTCATATGACGCACACCTGCACACTTGCTAGCCTGTTCCACTCTTTGTTTTCCGAATGCCAGGAAGTATTCTTGACTCGCTTCTGAAGCAAGATGCTCGGCAGACTTGTGCTACCAAGCAAGCGTACTCGCGATTGAGAAACACCCACGGTTCAGCAGCAGCCATTTTGTGCATATAAATAGTTTGTGATTTATAAAAATTATTATTATTATTGTTATTAAAGGCTTCAGTGACGCAGCTGGGTTCCTATAGGGACTCTTTAAAAAGGGTTATTATCATTTTTCATAGAAGGTTGGAGACACAAAATGGCCGCCTACGAGTAAACAGCCTCCTAAAGTCAGTTCATCTTTTCTTCTTCACTTCCTTGTCTCCTTCCTCGATTCCTCGGTAAACGGAAAGTAAAATAAGCCAATCACAGTCCTCCTTTCTCACTCCCTCTCGCTGTGACATCACTCCCTCTTGTTATGACATCACTTCCTCTCGTTATGACATCACTTCCTCTCGTTATGACATCACTTCCTCCTCCTACAGCGGTAGCAGCACCGCCCCCCCCCCCTCCTCTGGCTCCGCCTCCTTCACCAGGTACGAGGGGGCGGGGCTCTGGGCGCTGTACGGGTTGTTGTCGCTGCTCAGAGCCATCGGATTGGCTATCACCGTGGAGCCGTCCTCCGAGGGGTGGAGCTTAGCGCGGGGGATGGTGACCTCACCGTATGGGTTGTCCAATGAGACGTTGATGTTTGACATGGTGACGCGTCACAGAAGGGCGTGGCTAGAGATGATTTATTAGCCAATCAGAGGCAGCCAGCCAGAGTCGTCGTCCAATCAGAGGCCGGGGATGTCTGAGGAGAGAGATAATGATAATCAGTGTTAGCGTTATTTAAAGTTCCTCATCCTAGGATAATAAACATAGTATTTTATGTTGATCAGACATTAGTGGCTATGCTACTTTAAGCCCAACACTGTCAACATAATGTTAGCAGAAGCTAGGCTGTTAGTGGTTAGCAGACGCTAGGCTGTTAGCAGACGCTAGGCTGTTAGTGGTTAGCAGACGCTAGGCTGTTAGCAGACGCTAGGCTGTTAGTGGTTAGCAGACACTAGGCTGTAAGCAAACTCTAGGCTGTTAGTGGTTAGCAGACGCTAGGCTGTTAGTGGTTAGCAGAGGCTAGGCTGTTAGCAGACGCTAGGCTGTTAGTGGTTAGCAGACACTAGGCTGTAAGCAAACTCTAGGCTGTTAGTGGTTAGCAGACGCTAGGCTGTAATCAGAAGCTAAGCTGTTAGCTGTTAGCAGACTCTAGGCTGTTAGTGATTAGCAGACGCTAGGCTGTTAGTGGTTAGCAGAGGCTAGGCTGTTAGCAGACGCTAGGCTGTTAGTGGTTAGCAGACACTAGGCTGTAAGCAAACTCTAGGCTGTTAGTGGTTAGCAGACGCTAGGCTGTAATCAGAAGCTAAGCTGTTAGCTGTTAGCAGACTCTAGCCTGTTAGCTGTTAGCAGACTCTAGGCTGTTAGCAGAGGATTAGCAGTAAATGCTGAGTCACGGTGCTAACTGTTAGCCGTGTCACTGAGGAGGACAGTGGGAGAAGTTTCTCTCATATTAAATCTGTCTGTGAGTTTAACATCAACAACAACAGCTGCTGTTGATCGTTGTTGACGCTCATCTCAGAGCAGGAAACAGAACCGGATCTGAAGAGGTTCGCAGGTTAAACCAGAACAGAACTAGCTAATATGCTAACATAGCTAATATGCTAATATGCTATGTTTTATGTTGGTGAGCTAGACAGAAAACAGCTAGTGTTAGCATCAGATTTGGTATTAGCCATATACTGTATATCAATTGTCTATTGTTTTTACTTCACTTGTTTTATGGTGAGTGGACTGAGCTGTGTGACTCTTTAGTCTGGAGGTTTAAAGTGCTTTATACATAAAGCTGTATTGTATAAAGGTATTAGCATGTGTGGTTAGCGTTAGCTCCTGGAGGGTCTTAGTTTACTTTAAAGCATCACAATACTCTTTCTGCTTCTCAGTGGACTCTTGTTCATTTACTAATAATCTAAGTTTAATAAAGCAAACAGAAACAAGTCGGTCAATAATCTCATCTCATTACATTATTACATTAATACATTAATACATTAATACATTATTACATTAATACATTATTACATCATAACATGTCATGTTTATTTATGTTAAAAAGGCAAACCGTTTTAAACAGAAACTCACTTTGTCTTGTTTCACTTTAACTCACGTTTAAACTGTACATAATGTTATATTTATATTTGATGTTTAAATCCTGCTTTTATTTGAAAGCTGTCCTCCTCCTGCTCCTCCTGCTCCTCTGTGGGAAACTTTTATAAAGTTAAAATGTTCTGCTAACATGCTAACAGCCTGTGAGACAGGAGTGTTTCAGCTGTGAGCAGACAGACTCACACACACACACACACACACACACACACACACACACACACACACACACACACACACACACACACACACACACACACACACACACACTGAACAACAACACTTAAAACACTCACCTGTTCTCAGGTAACTTC